GTTGACCTCCCTAATAAATCCCATAACTGTGAAGATGGTGTCTGTGTTCTTTGTGGCTATTGTAATAAATTATTGAACCCAGCTGTGTAGAAGACATGGTTGGGTTGGTTTTCTTGATTTTGTTTTGCAAAGTGGTGGTTATACACATCTACACGTGAAAAAAAAATGTATAAATCTACATATTCACATTGTGCAAATGTTGATTTTCTGGTTTAAATCTTGTACTATAGTTATACAGGAGTTCTGGTGTGGCGCTGGATGATAAGCCCTCAACGGCAAGGTCAGTTTCAATCACAAGGTCAAATTCGCCAGTTGCTCCTCAGAAATCCTATGCAGGGTCGCTATGAGTCAGAACGAACTCAATGGCACTTTACAATAACAATAGTTACAAGTAAGATACAATTATTGGAGGAAACTGGGTGACGGGTACATGGGACCCCTTTGTACTAGTTAGCAGCTTCCTATGACTCTCATTTCAAAATACATGTTTTAGAAAGGACATAAGAGTATCAAACACAGCTCTTCAAAATTAAAAACCTAATGTCAGAAATGAAAGATTCCGTAGAAATGAAAGCTAAAAGTTGAAGGCATTTCTCAGAAGATAGAGCAAAAAGATAAAGATGTGTGGAAAATGGGTGAGAAAAGTTGAGAAAATTGGAGGACCCTCCATAGAAGTGCAAAATCAGAAGAAAGAGTTCAAGAGAGAATGGAGAAAAAAGAAAATCAACAACAAAGTAAGTCAAGAAGTTTTTCCAAAAAGAAAAGACGTTGAGTTTCCGGGACCCACCAACTGTTGAGCAAATGAGTGAAAATGATCCACAGCAAGTCATATGGTTGTGAAATGTCATAGCACTGGGGAGAAAGAGTGAAAATTCTACAGCTTTCGGAGGAAAAACAGCAAAACAAAGGAGCACGATGGTTTGGACTTTTCCACCACCACGTTGTTTTCCACCGGACACACGGTGTCAATGAAGCCACCCAAGTGCCGTATAAAGTCACGTAAAGCAATGCTTTCAACATGCTTATGATTTCCAACCAATATTCGATTCTTAGCCAAACTCTCAGGCACACACATGAACAGAATAAAAACCTTTTTATACGTGTCTAACATTTTGTTGTTCAGTGATGTCAAGTCAGTTCCGACCCACAGCAACCAAAACTCAGGTGTCTGAGAAGCAGCTGGTGGGTTTGAACTACCAACCTTGCGGTCCAGTGCTTTATCCTGCAGCACCACACCAGGACTCTGTCTAATATTTCAGGCGCACTCATTTCCTTAGGAAAGTTGTGTTTCAACAAAACAAGCAGCCGGGCATCTTAGTCTGGGGCATAACTTAGAGCTTCTCACCCTGCACTCCTTAACACCTTCTTTCTCCCACAGTCCTGACCTCATTAATGGCTCCAGTACTGATGAGCAGCTCAAGCCAGAAACCTAAGTCACCCATCATATCCCATCTCTCAAAACCAATCATCAAATCTTGATGGTTTTGTTGCTGCTAGCAGGTGCCTTTGAGTCAACTCAGCTACCCCATGTGACAAAGCAGAGCTGCCAAATAGGGGTTTCTAGGTTGTAAGCTTATGAGATCAGAGCCTCTTGCAGCGCCATTGGGTGGATCCAAACCATTGACTTTTCAGTTGGCCACCAAGCACTTAACTGCTATGCCAGCAGGGCTCCTTTGGATACTTTTACCCCTAAATGTAGCTCTGGTAGCATAGTGGTTACGAATTGGGCTGCGAACCTTAAGGCCAGCAGTTCGAAACTACCAGCGGGAGAAAGATGAGGCATTCTGCTCCTATAAAGATTTACAGCCTTGGAAACCCTGTACAGGGTCGCTATGGGTCGGAACCGACTCGACGGTACTTAACAACAACAAACCCCTAAATGTGGAGTCCTGGTGTGGCTCTGTAGAATAACCAGACTGTTGACTACAAGGTTGGCAGTTCAAACCTACCAGCCCAATCCTTGGAAACCCTACACAGGCTCGCTATGAGACAGAGAGCCAACTCAGCAGCATTTAATGACAGCAACCCCTAAATATTTCTCCTTAATTCAGTCTCCAGTTCTGCAGCCTTCACTTAAACCTAGCCAAGCTCCCTGTCTCCACAAAGCCACCCCTGACAATGTGGGCACAGCCATCTGCCTGTCGTGCGCATCTCACCACATCACCCCCTTACTTAAAACTTTTCAAAAGCTGCTGAACGTCTGACCAGCAAGCAATAAAGACAAATGTGTGGCAAACTGTTGCGCTCCACACCTCACCCCTCCACTCCATACCTCACCCCTCCACAGCCCCATGGTTTGTTGTTAGCTGCCTTCCGTTGGCCACTGACTCCTGGCAACCCCATATGCAATGGAGCACAAAGCACCCCAGGCTTGTTTCAGCTCCTGGATCACTTGCAGATCAGACCAGTTGTGATAGACTGGTTACATCCTGGCCTTTCTTCCTAACCCATTTTAGCCTGGAAGCTCCGCTGAAACCTGTTTATCTTCATAACAACACGTAAGTTCAGCTAACAGAAAGGTAGTGTCTGTACATGAGCTACACTGGCCAGAAATCAACCCCCTAGTCTCCCACCTAGATGGTAAGAGCTCTACCACAGAACCAGCTCCTCCCCACAGGCTGGTGGCACTGGTTGTTAAATGCTGTCAAGTTGGTTCTGACTCATAGCCACCATATTTAGAGTTGCCATGGAGTCCTGGTGTGGCGCTATAGGAAAAGCACTGGACCGCAAAGTCGGCATTTCAAACTCACCAGCCGCTCCTCGGAAACCCTATACAGGGTTGCAGTGAGTTGGAAATGACTTGACAGAACTTAACAAACAACAACAAGGAGCAGCTGGTAGGTTTGAACTGGTGACCTTGAGGTTAGTAGTCCACATCAGGACATGGAATTCTTCTACACAGCCTAGACTCAGCCTAGACACAACCTAGATTCAGCCCAGACACAGCCCAGACTCAGCCCAGACTCAGCCCAGACACAGCCCAGACTCAGCCCAGACACAGCCCAGACACAGCCCAGACTCAG